CCCCGCCGCCTGGGGCAAAGCAGCTGGGGTGCTACCGGGTTGGTCCCGCAGCCCCGAGGGGCAGCGTTATGGGACCAACCGGGCAGTACCCCAGCTGCTCTGTCCCAGGTGTCCCCAAGAGCAGCTGGAGTGCTGCTGGGTTGGTGCCGTAGCGCCGCCCCTTGCCGCTGTGGGACCAACCCACCAGCACCCCAGCTGCTCTATTGCAGGCATCCCCGATTCAGCTGCTGCTGAAACTGACGAGCAGCGGCTGAATCAGGGACTCCTGGGGCAAAGCCTGACTATCGTAAGGGGGGGCTATGAGGGGTCTGGAGTGGCATCCGCTCCCACCCCACTCCAGACCCCTTATAGCCCCCCCTTCTGATAGTCTGGCATATCTGATAATCCGGCGCCTCCTGGGTCCTAAAGGTGCCGGATTATCGGAAGTTTACTGTACATTGCTCAGGTGTGTGAAAAATCTACATCGCCAAGTGACAGTTACGCCAACCTAACCTCTGTGTAGACAATGCTATGTCAACAGGAGAGCTGCTTCCATTGACCTAGGTACACCTCTCAGGGAAGTGGATTAACTACACTGATGAGACAAGCTCTACTGTTGGTGTAATAGTATCTTCACTAAAGCACGCCAGGGCTGCAGCTGCACTGCTTTATGTGAAGATAAGCCCATATTCTCCTCATTTATCCTTCCTCCTCTCTTAGTCTTTATTCTTCCAAGTCCTTTGCTTCCTTCATACTGTCTCCATTCTCTCTCTCTCCTTTGGGTCCCGTGCAATTATTTTCTATCCTGCTCCTGTCCTCCTGCCACCAGTACATACCACATTCTGACTGGTGATATCAGCCTGAGCTAGCGCTGAGTTGCTGTAGATAGATTTCTTCCAATGCTGCTGTGAAAGTACATTTTGATGTTGCAGCATGAAATTGCCTCTGAGCACTATTTCTGTGGAATAATGATGTGAAGGAACGGGCTAGTTCCCTTCTCTCATGGGGTCCCACTCACATTCCTAATTGGCCCTCTGCTCAGAGTTTTTCACAGGCCACCCTGCCTCTTCGGCAGTCTGTTAGTCTCGGTTTCCAATAGCTCGTACACTGGCACCCGCCCTTAGTGGACAGGGTAGGGGAACCCAGACCCTCCCTCTGTCACTGGTCCTAGGCCAGGGCCCTAAGGGCAGGCACAGACAAGTTCCTGTCCTGCTGATGGGGATTCCTGCCATAACTCGTCAGCCCACGGGCCTTAGCAGGGAAGCCCTGTCCTGGGCTACTTCCTACCCCGGCTACAGCTGGGGAGGTCCTCACCCCTCCCGACCGTCTCCTCGACCATAGCACATGGCTCACCAAAGCCGGCCGAGCCCTGCCGCTCTCCCGCCCACTCACTGCGGCGACCATCCTCTTTCCTCCTTCGACTGCCCTCTTCTCCTGTGTCCATTTCCCTTTTGTACCTCCCGCCTTGTCTCTCCTGCCCCACCCATCCCCATGACGTCACCCCGTGACCCATCCCTCTGGCCACCCCACCCCTCTCACGTCATTCCTGGCGTGCTCGTAATGCACCCGAGGCATCCCGTTCCGGTTCGCAGTGCCACCCCGCTGTGCTGCAGCATGCCAACATGCAGCGCAAGCAGCAAAACAGGCTCTGCACTCCCCACAAAGCAGGGCAACGGGGGCATTCAGAGTGTGGGGCAATCGCACCCCATCACAAATTACTTGAGCTAAGTTCATGGCACATGATGCTTCCAGAGGATTTGACACTATGGATAAATTTTGAACCCATGAACTTCATGTGAGTTTAAAATTTATTCAGAACACGTTCTCCCATCCCAAGCACAGACAGTGTTTAATTTTATACACATCTGTTATTGTTGCAAACAGAAATTTGCTGTTTTTCCTGCAGTGCCAAATGAGGCACAGAAAAGCAACAGCTGTTGCTATTGCACAACCAACCCCTTTCTCCCCCCCCAACCTACTTAATCTTGTCATTTTAAAAAAGTCCCTCTAAAACATAGACTTAGAAAATCATATAAAGAAGAGAAATAGCAGAAAACAGAGACTTCAGTGCAGTCTGCTTATACATATTCAGAAGTAAAAATGGGATCACATCACTTATCCCACTCCTAAGGGAACCCTCAGTGCTCGCCATCCCTTGCAGCACATGTTAGCAATAATGGGCTTCCTTATTATACAAGACAAAAACAGGATCCCATGCCAGCATAGTGGCTCAAGTAACCAGCCTCAGCAGGCTGCCTTGCAGAGTCCAATTTCACTTGAATTCCTGCCACTTCCAGCTTGGCTGCTGATTTCAACTTTTTTATTCAAATGGAGCGGTAAGAATATTCTGTGCGATGTGTAGGCATTAAGCTGCATGACTCTCTTTAATGCTAGTAAGGGTTCCCTTAGTAAATCTTTCTGTATAGTATTTGAGGGTGTATATGGCACTTAGTTAAAAGTGTTTTATTAGAACAGGTGCTTGAGAGACAGAATCACAATCTGGTCCCTAGTTCTCCCATTGCTCTGGGGCAGAGGAAACCTGCATGGGCGCTCTACCTGCTGCTAATTACTTCTCCATTCTCACCAGTTCTTCTGCTCTGGCTGGTGCACTGAGAGGGGCAAAGCCAAAGCTCTGCCTATTCGCTGCCTGCTTGTATGGGAACGGGAGTAGCAACCCTATAGAGACTGCTTTCCCCTTCCATGAGTTGCTACCAGTGATCTGGAGAGCCACACAGGGAGGTAGGAAAGTGCCATATGCCCCTTGCTTCCTGGCATGGGTATGTTGGGTGATTTACAATAGCACTCTAAAGCTGCAAAGCAGTTTCAGTTATAATCACTGTAGGTTTCACTAAGGGCTTGTCTAGACAAATGGTTAGTTTGTGGTAAGCTAGGATGTGAATCTGCCCTGCAGAAGCCTTCTGCAGACTAACATTTTTTTGTTGGACAAATTCTCAGAAACATCTGCCTTTCAGGTTTCAATTTTCCATGTTTATTCTCAACTTGAAGGTGAGGTTCAGTGAATTTGAACTAAATCGGTTAGGCTGCTTTTTAATTCAATGATGATTGAAAAAGAACACATAAACGTGCACACACACAAACAAAGGTGCATATTTCTTAATTCTAGCAATATCGATTTGAGGCAGAACTATTTTAAAAAACCAACACGTTGGCCTGGGAAAAGTAGATTGAGCCTTTGTTGAACACTGCTAATATTGGACCAAAATCTTTACTGGTGTAAAAAGTTCACTTATGGGGTTTCTCCCATTGCCTCCAGAAGAGAATTTGTTCCACTATTTCTAGGTTAGTAATACAATTTTATAAGGGATATCACCATCCAGGCAAAAGAATTTGAAAAAAGTTGATTTGTGCCAGTAAGATCTCTTACTTGTATTTGTAGCTGGATGAATGACTCTCTTTAGTAGGGATTTCCCATAAGCAACTGAAGGATACAAGCTATCTGCATCAGAAATGAACCATATGTATTTTATGGGGAAAAGGTTGGAGTGAGTTATATAAAACAACTACTCTACTTTAGATAGCCATGAATACATGAGTACAAATCCCCCCTCCCCACCCAAGAGAAAAGTAGCAACAGAAAGTTCTTTTAGTATTTTATTTCTTAGGGGACTGCCAGGAAGCTTTTTGAATAGTTCTGTCTGTTTTTAACACCTGATATTTGAAGCTGTAACCAGGGCATTGAGTTCAAACACAACTTGAACTATTTTCAAAGGTATTTGCAGCCTTATAACATCACGGTCATTGCTCCAAAAACTCTTTCATTAAACCAATCTATCTTTTTCCCAATTAGGGTAAGATCCTGAATAGAAAAGGATGCTGTCCTATTTGCACTGAAAGTGAGTAAGTTCCTTCTTCACATTTAAAAATTCTCTTGTATTCTATCAGAAAAAGGTTATAGTTGAAATGTGCTTGCACGTCGTCTCCCTCTTTTTAGCTGGAGGCAGAGGGAGGCTCTCTTAGCAGAGGACAGAGTTAGTATAACACCTCCCACAAATTGAAAATAAAATATTTGTCAAAGAGAATTTCTAATCTTCCAAATAGCCTTTTTTGTGTGTGTCAAATTAGAGGAAACATTTCTCTCTCTGCAATATAAATTGTAATTTGCCTGTGAAATTTGTGCCTAGAATGAATCAAATAACATTTGCTGCTACACAGTCTAAGGTAGTGATATGAAGAAATATGAAGCATAATCAGATTTCATGCTTCAAGTCCTTAGTGTTGATTTGTGGGAGTCAGAAAAGGGTTTGCAAAGGAAAGGTTTGCATAAGGAAGTCCGTGGCAGAGATGGGGAATATACTACCTCTTGATACAATTCTGTGTTTTAGCTAGAGCACCATCCTTTTCCTTCCATGGACCTAATAGCAAAGTGTTTAAGCATTTGCTCATATTCACTCCTATTCAGCAAAGCACTTAAGCCAATGTTTAACTTAGAAGTAGGCACATGTTTAAGTGCTTTACTGAATCAGTATAAAACAACTACTCTATAGGGTTTTACTGCACTGCTGAATCAGGGCCTTAACGCTTTATAACAGAGCAATTAAAAAAACTAAAAAATAATTTCCATGGAAAATGTCTGGTTTTTTGTCTAAACATTTTTAACTTTTTGAAATTTATCAATCAGCTGTATGCAGTACTCTTTGGCTAGAATGAGTCCAGGTCTACACCAGTGGAGAAAATCAATGCAAGATACGCATCTCCAGCAATGTGAATTCCGTAGCTGGAGTCAATGGTACCATGCATTAATTTTCTGGGGCGATTCCACAGCGGGAGGTCAACAGGAGAAACTCTTCCATTGACCTCCCTTACACCTCATGACAGCGAGGAGTACAGTGACTGACCAGGGCGTCCTTAGCATTCAATTTAGCAGGTCTTTATTAGACCCACTAAATCGAACCCCAGAAGATCAATCGTCAGAGCATTGATACTCCGGTAATTGCAGACATGGCCTGAGTCACATTGGTCATAGAAATATGTGACATAGGCTATGTCTACACTACACTGATCTACCAGAAAAAGTTATACAATTGCACTCTGCAATTTGCGTACCTTTTTCTGATACAGACAGTCCCCGACTTACGTGGATCCGACTTATGTCGGATCCGCACTTACGAACGGGGCTTTCTCGCCCCGGAGCTCACAGGCAGCGATCCGCCACCTCGACCTCCGGGGCGAGAAAAGCTGCTTCCCGCCCCCCTTCCTCTGTCTCCCCCATCCTCCCCTCCAGCCCCACAGCCCCCAATCTTCCCCCAGCTCTGCTTCCTCTGGCAAAGCCTCAGAAGCGCCGGAACCCGCCGCTGCTGCGGCTTCGCTCACGGTCTCCAGCAGATCAGGGGCACCGGGAGCGAAGCCCCAGCCACGGCGCGGTCCCGCGCCTCTGAGGCTTTGCCAGAGCACACAGAGCACACCCGCAGCTAGTGTGCCCCCCCCCCTCAGCAGACCAGGCTTTTGTTGCCGGACCCTGGGGCAGAGCAGCTGGGGCGCTGCCGGTTGGTCCCGCAGCGCCGCTCTGGGCACTACTGGACCAACCCAGCAGCACC